TATATAAATTATATTCAGAATTTATTCATTATTTATATAAATTCTGTTTATATTCTATGAATAATTATTATTCTAGGTATTTTTTTTTTGTAGGTGTTGAGGAAACACCCACTTTTTAATAAGAAAAATTGGTCCTCGGTTTTTATGAAAGCTGCGTATAAGAATTAAATTTGCTCATAAATAATTCCGATCGCCTAGCGGCTTGATGGTAGAGGAGGCGGCGCTTGAGGGTGTGGTTGTCCAGACCAGGGTTCGAGTCCCCCTCTGCATGAACCTTCCACCATTTTCTTGTACCACGTAAAAGAAGATGCGGTACTATTTTGGATAAATCAGGTACTAATTAATTGTAGTATGAGATAAAAAAAAATGGTGGAAAGTTCTCGCAGAGGGGGAACTCGAACCCGGGTGTGGGAAAGTCCGGACTCTCAAACGCCGCCTCCTCTACCATCAAGCAGCTAGGCAATCACAATTATTTATGTGCAAATTTAATTCTTATCCTTAAGGCTTATAAAAATTATATTGTACTTTTTTACTTAATACTTTCAACTAAAAATATTTAAATATCATATAAGCTAATGTGAGAGTGATTATGCGTTGTATAAACATGATTTGCGACCGAAACTCGATGATTTTAAATGTTTGTTAGAAGTGGTACTAAAGAGCCACTACCAAGTACTAAAACACCACAAAGTGATACTATCTTTCTCTAGGTCTGGTACTACTTTTTGTAAATGTGGAAAAAAATTGAAATCCATTTTGGTTGACCAAAACTAGGTACTAATTGATCAATAACCAGTACTTCATAGAAGAAGAAGCGGTATTATTTCCGTCAAAACTAGTACCATTCAATGACTTCAAGTGTATTAAGTAGTGTTTTTTTCCATTAGTGTGTTGAGTTCGTGACCAATTTGCGATTAAACTTAATTAACCAAATACTAAATCTCATAGAAACTAAAATGAGTAATTATGGGTCGTATAAACATCATTTGCGATCGAAATTCGGTCTTCTTATGTGTTCATTACAAGTGGTACTTGGGATAAGATATCTGGTACTAACACGCCATAAAGTGGTACTGTCTTACACTATGACTAGTACTACTTTTTGTAAATGTTGAACACAATTGAAATAATCAATTTTCTTCACAAAAGTAGGTACTAATCGATCAAAAGCAGGTACTACGTAGAAGACGATGTGGTACTATTTTGGCTAAAATAGGTACTATTTTCAGAATCGCGATTTCTCTAATCCTTCATATCTACCATGACACGTGGATCGTTCACACGTGATTTGGATGAAAAAAAGTGGAAGTGAAAACATATATGTAGAATTTGGAGTAGTCATGTATGATGATTTCTATGAGATGAAGTGTGTCATTCAATGAAATGAAGTCTATTAGTAGTGTTTTCTCATTAGTGTATCGAGTTCATGACCAATTTGCGATTAAACTCAATAAAAAACATTTAAAATCTTATAAACTAATGTCAGAGTGATTATGGGTCGTATAAACATCATTTGCGACCGAAATTCGGTCTTCTTATGTGTTCATTACAAGTGGTACTAGAGAGACGATGTCTGGTACTAATACGCCATAAAGTGGTACTGTCTTACACTATGACTGATACTACTTTTTGTAAATGTTGACCATAATTGAAATAATCAATTTTTCTTCACAAAAGTAGGTACTAATCGATCAAAAGCAGGTACCACGAAGAAGAAGATGTGGTACTATTTAGCCCAAAACTAGTACTATTTTCAGAATCGCGATTTCTCTAATCCTTCATGTCTACCATGACACGTGGATCGTTCACACATGATTTGGATGAAAAAAAGTGGAAGTGAAAACATATATGTAGAATGTGGAGTAGTCATGTATAATGATTTTTATAAGATGAAGTGTGTCATTCAATGAAATGAAGTCTATTAGTAGTGTTTTCTCATTAGTGTATCGAGTTCATGACCAATTTGCGATTAAACTCAATAAAAAACATTTAAAATCTTATAAACTAATGTCAGAGTGATTATGGGTCGTATAAACATCATTTGCGACCGAAATTCGGTCTTCTTATGTGTTCATTACAAGTGGTACCAGAGAGACGATGTCTGGTACTAATACGCCATAAAGTGGTACTGTCTTACACTATGACTGGTACTACTTTTTGTAAATGTTGACCATAATTGAAATAATCAATTTTTCTTCACAAAAGTAGGTACTAATCGATCAAAAACAGGTACCACGTAGAAGAAGATGTGGTACTATTTTGCCCAAAACTCGTACTATTTTCAGAATCGCGATTTCTCTAATCCTTAATGTCTACCATGACACGTGGATCGTTCACACGTGATTTGGATGAAAAAAAGTGGAAGTGAAAACATATATGTAGAATTTGGAGTAGTCATGTATAATGATTTTTATGAGATGAAGTGTGTCATTCAATGAAATGAAGTCTATTAGTAGTGTTTTCTCATTAGTGTATCGAGTTCATGACCAATTTGCGATTAAACTCAATAAAAAATATTTAAAATCTTATATAAACTAATGTCAGAGTGATTATGGGTCGTATAAACATCATTTGCGACCGAAATTCGGTATTCTTATGTGTTTATTACAAATGGCACTAGAGAGATTATATCTGGCACTAATACGCCATAAAGTGGTACTCTCTTACATTATGACTGGTACTACTTTTTGTAAATGTTGACCACAACTGAAATAATCAATTTTTTTTTCACAAAAGTAGGTACTAATCGATCAAAATCAGGTACCACGTAGAAGAAGATGCAGTACTATTTTGCACAAAACTGGTACTATTTTCAGAATCGCGATTACTCTAATCCTTCATGTCTACCATGACACGTGTATCGTTAACACGTGATTTGGATGAAAAAGTGGAAGTGAAAACATAGAGGTCGAATTTGGAGTAGTTATGTATAATGATTTTTGTGAGATGAAGTGTGTCATTCAATGAAATGAAGTCTATTAGTAGTGTTTTCTCATTAGTGTATCGAGTTAATGACTAATTTGCGATTAAACTCAATAAAAAACATTTAAAATCTTATATAAACTAATGTCAGAGTGAATATGGGTCGTATAAACATCATTTGCATCGGAAATTCGGTCTTCTTGTGTGTTCATTACAAGTGGTACTAGAGAGATGATATCTGGCACTAATACGCCATAAAGTGGTACTGCCTTACATTATGACTGGTACTACTTTTTGTAAATGTTGACCATAATTGAAATAATCAATTTTTCTTCACAAAAGTAGGTACTAATCTATCAAAAGCAGGTACCACGTAGAAGAAGATGCGGTACTATTTTGCCCAAAACTGGTACTATTTTCAGAATCGCAATTTCTCTAATCCTTCATGTCTACCATGACACGTGGATCGTTCACACGTGATTTGGATGAAAAAAAGTGGAAGTGAAAACATATATGTAGAATTTGGAGTAGTTATGTATAATGATTTTTATGAGATGAAGTGTGTCATTCAATGAAATGAAGTCTATTAGTAGTGTTTTCTCATTAGTGTATCGAGTTCATGACCAATTTACGATTAAACTCAATAAAAAACATTTAAAATCTTATATAAACTAATGTCAGAGTGATTATGGGTCGTATAAACATCGTTTGCGACCGAAATTCGGTCTTCTTATGTGTTCATTACAAGTGGTACTAGAGAGATGATATCTGACACTAATACGCCATAAAATGGTACTGCCTTACACTATGACTGGTACTATTTTTTGTAAATGTTGACCATAATTGAAATAATCAATTTTTCTTCACAAAAGTAGGTACTAATCGATCAAAAGCAGGTACGACGTAGAAGAAAATGTGGTACTATTTTCCCCAAAACTGGTACTATTTTCAGAATTGCGATTTCTCTAATCCTTCATGTCTACCATGACACGTGGATCGTTCACACGTGATTTGGTTGAAAAAAAGTGGAAGTGAAAACATATATGTAGAATTTGGAGTAGTCATGTACAATGATTTTTATGAGAATAAGTGTGTCATTCAATGAAATGAAGTCTATTAGTAGTGTTTTCTCATTAGTGTATCGAGTTCATGACCAATTTGCGATTAAACTCAATAAAAAACATTTAAAATCTTATATAAAATAATGTGAGAGTGATTATGGGTCGTATAAACATCATTTGCGACCGAAATTCAGTCTTCTTATGTGTTCATTACAAGTGGTACTAGAGAGACGATATTTGGTACTAATACTCCATAAAGTGGTACTGTCTTACACTATGACTGGTACTACTTTTTGTAAATGTTGACCATAATTTAAATAATCAATTTTTCTTTCACAAAAGTAGGTACTAATCGATTAAAAACAGGTACCACGTAGAAGAAGATGCGGTACTATTTTGCCCAAAACTGATATACTTTTAATGAGATGAAGTGTTGGTAGTGTTTTTTCATTAGTGTTTCGAGTTCAAACCAATTTGCAATTAAATTTAATTAAAAACATTATAAAACTCATAAAAAGTAGTGTGAGAGTGATTATCTGTCATGTAAACATCATTTGAGACCGAAATTCGGTATTTTATGTGTTCGTTACCAGTGGTACAGATGAGCTAATATCCAGTACTATAACAATGCAAAACTGGTACTAGTGTGAAGAAACTAGGTACTACTATGAGTATAAACTGGTATACAGTTTAAAAACACATCCTTAAATGACTACTAGCTACTGGAACATGAGTACTTTTACACCAAAAATGCGGTACTAATATTAAGAAAACAGGTATCATTATGAATCAAATCAAAAAAATCCAAAACATCCATTCAAACTACTTAGTCCACAAACCATCATCCAAAAAATTACACAGTAGAAATGCTCACAAATACAATTCATAACAACTTGAGAGAATAGACCATGAAGTGTTATTAGATCCAGACATCAAAATGGCAAGTCTGAAGTATCTCAAGTTTCACACAAAGGAGGAAGAATCTTGGTAAGCAAATATACTTTATAGCAGAAATACTCATTGTGAATACACACAAACAAACACATATCTGAAAAAAAAAAATAAATAAATAAAAAATCACCCTTTAATTTCCTCCATATTAGACAGCAAATGCACCCTATTACACTCCAACATTTTAGAAACTTCCTTTCCAGCATCATAATCTACCATAAAATGATCTTCAATGTTCTTCAAAGCCTCCAAAAGCTCCCGTCCTCTGACCGGCGTGTCGATCACATTCAAAACCTCGTTTTGCCTTTCCTCAGCCCGGTGCATTCTAGCACCACCCACTTCACTCTGCACAACTTCAACTCCATTTTCCTTCTCTTTCTCCAAATCACTCCTCTTGCTCTCAACCGCACATTCTCTCTCATCTTCCAGCTCCGGTATCCCTTCTTCTTCCCTCACAGCTCTCAAATCCTCCTCTGTAATATTCTTATTAATATTATTATAAACATTTATCATCTCCGGCGCCGCCATTGCCACATTTTCGAAAGGGTTGAAAAAATCCCACTCGAAACCCCTCTGTGGTGAGGCCATTGTGTTGCTCTGAGGCATGTCCATGTAGAAATACCCACAAATCTTCTCTTTTTCTTCATTTTCTTCTTCTTCGTCATTTTTTTTTATTTCTATTTTCACTTTTATCGAGGGGCCACTGTTCTTCGGAGGCAGAGCTTCTAGAAGAACTGCATGGGTCGCAAGGTACGGCCTTTTTGCTTGGCTCAGATGGGTTTTGCTTGAGGAATAAAGGGTTTGAGACGACTGCGTTTTTCTCCGGCGCTGATGGGATTGTGATGTACAGCTGCAGAGGAGAATGGCGGGCCACGAAGAGGTTTATGGTCGCCAAGACTCCATAAAGAGACTGAAAATACTTGTAATGTGCATCTGCAAGAGCATACCTTCTCTCAACGGCTCGTTTGATTTGACGCTTTCTCTCTCTACAGATGGAAACAACTTTCTCTTGGAAAAAAATTCAATTACAAATTATTGTTCACGCAATGTGAGCAAGTTCAAGTGGAAAAGCAAAACGAACTAGATATTCCCATCATGCTTCAAAAAGTATATATATGTTGGAACTCTTAAGAATTTCAAAATTAATTTATAGCAATCAATATTTCATAAGCAAAATGAATATCCAGTTCGTTTTGCTTTTCCACTGGAACTTGCTTACAGTCGCATTGCGTGAAGCCATGAACTATGATTTGTAATTGAACTTTCTTCCAAATAGTTATTTGCGAATTGAAATTGAATCTTACAAAAATTAAATCCAAAAACTATCTCTATGTTGGGACCTTTAAGAATTTCAAAATAGATTTACAATAACAATAGCAACAACAATTGATCAAAAAAATATACCAAAATCAATAAAACTCAAATAAATCAATAAAACCCTACACATGCAAATAGTCTAATTTATCAATAAAATTCGTAATTGGTGAAATAAAACTCAAATTCGAAGTGCATTAGCATCAACCAAATACCTAATTTTGAAAAATCTCGAATTCAATAAAAAAATCAAAATTTTGAAAAAAATCCCAAATTCCGAATTGAAGAAAAAATTCAAAATTGTTGAAAAAAAAGCTCCAAAATCTTACTTTGCTTACTGTGGAAGACGATTTGTCTGATGTGGAATGGCGAGGAGGACGGTTTTTCGAGCCCGCCATGGAATTTTCCCACAGAATTGGCCGACGATTTTCAGAGAATGAGAGAGAGACGATCAACGAACGGAATTTTTCAGAGAGAGAGCGATGGCCGGCGACAAAAATTTGAGCCAGAGAGCGACGGTCGACGATGAAAATTTGAGAGAGTCAGAAAGAGAGAGAGAGAGAGAGAGAGAGAGAGAGAGAGCTTCAATTCAATTTTTTATGAAAATAAGGCAAAATAAAAGAATAATAATAAGAGTAGTATATATATGGAGAGTGATTTGGAAAGAGAAATTAGCTTTAGTGAGTGATAAGGAAGTTTAAAAGTGATGGGGACTTACAAGGAAGTTGAAATGTAAGTTAGGGATTTATAAGGAATTACTCGTAAATTTTATCCATAATTTTATATCGTATTGAAAAGTTTAAAATTCAAATTATTTTTGAAATTTTTAAACCATTTTCCTTTTTGGGAGAAATCCGTAATATTTCTTGTAAATACAAACAATTTTTTTTTATATATAAATATATAGATATGAAAAGCAAAATAACAAAGATATACATCCTTGATATGCTTATTTCGTGAATGTATATTATGATCCCA